AAATTCCTCCCAGACACAGTACGGATCTAGAACATTCTCAGTCACACGGAAGTGGTAAACAAGTCGTATGCGACATCGACATTGATAAATATGTCTGAACTGATAGCCACATGTGAAATTATCGTGTATCTATTTTCATACTCGACATATGTTGTGCATGTTTTCACGTGGGATTACAATGTCTGAGTACAGTCTGAGTTTCCGATATTTAAGTGTAGTCTTTATTCGCAGAGGAACAAAACTGTGACCAGTGTTGTACTAATATATCGCCGTTTCTAGATATCAACGTGGACATACGTGATGACACATTGTAATATCATTATTTAACTAAATGTTGAACTTTGTGTTAAAGAGATTAGTCACCAGTGCCGGACACATGTACGTTTAATACTGTTGTCTATTTCAATAAAATACTATCGGAGGTCTCACATGGCTGATCTATTTTAGTTCTGATTAGTGAACAAAACTCATACAAATAAAAGGTATATCTAATGCACTTTCATCAAAGTATTCGGTGTGACAATACAAACAATTCACTCCATCACTTGCTATGGTCGGCGAAGATCAGAAGTCATTTATTTGGTATGTATGATCTGACCGCCACATTCACGAACCATACACACCTGTGAGGGCGCTAACTACTAGTACACATTGTGAAAATACGTGTTCTTTACATGTTCACTGCACGGTAAGACGAACTCGAGCGGCTACATGAAATATTTCACAGATTTTCAATCAAAAACAGAATTAAGAGGAAAAGACCAACATTTTTATCGATTCCCAGTGGTTTTTGGTGATGTTTTTATGATTATTTCCAATCAATGTAAACTGGATATAGGCGTTGGAATGGTTCTACGGTTTAAAAATTAATATTAGGGGCGACTTTAATGGATTTCAACGTTATTTTTGTAATCAGGAATTTCCTAATTTCCGATAACCCGGATTTACGATTCTGTTTGTACTGTACTATGTAACAGAACAACATAGGCCGTGTCGAATCAACGAATAACCAGCTATGATTATGACACAATGGCTGAGTTTACCATTTTTTAACTTGATTGCTATGACGTCATGGGTGATGTGATTAAATGAATATTTGTGAACTTGCATTCTGGAGAATAGAATATTCGAAACTTGAGTTAGAGAATCGGTAACCCGGATATCATCGATTCTCGTCATGAATTTCCGAATTCTCAGTGGCACTGATTTACACTGCACAGGCCATGTCGATTCAACAAGAAAAACGCCCCATGTTTTAATACAGTTAGAAAATAATGACTCAAATTATAAATTTGACAGTTATGACACTCTGGGTGATGTAATTCAAAACATTATCAGCGAACTTGGATTCAGTAGGATAGGAGTAATTCAAGACCTCAAGAAAAAGTAATTAAAACACACATTAATTTTGCGATGTCGAAAACTTTAATACAAAACCACTCCTTTGGTCTATTCTGTTGTCATGGTAATATCAATCACTGATCTTCTGCCGCCACCATAATGGACTATACACACCTGTGGGGGCGCTAATAGGGGTGTGTAATGTATGAGTGGAGGGTTCGGTTACGGCGGCGACATGAAATAAATCGGTGAATGTCAATCAAATATCTTGTAATGAATACACTTGTGACATTACAGCAGATTGTTTTATTTTGCTTCAATTACATTTTATTGAGTTTCAAATATCCCGGTGTCACACAGTTTTGTCAGATATCAACTAGTGTTACGTAATAAACTATTATAGTGATCGAGTTATTGGTTGTAAGTGTATGTCATTAACATCAACCTAAACCAAGCATGTAATTATGACAAACCAATGTTAAAATTATGAGATACAGAATTCTTACGAATTTGAGTATAATATACTAAGTTACATTTGCCGTATATTATTTTGAACGAATAGTAGGGGATGTGTTTCTTATAACGAATAT